ATGGTTTATTACCTGTTGATGATGACATGTATAGTATTCTCCACTGGACTGGTCTGAGAAGTATTTCATGTTGGGTAAAGTCTTTTTACAACCAAAATGATAAATAGTGATTGGATGTTTTAAAAAATGAGAATAATAATAATAATCTGGAAAAAAATTATGAAAAGCTATTTGATGATGATGATGTAGATAGTAATGTCTTTGTCTTGACTGGTATGCATGGTATTCCTTCTGGAAAAAGAAATGTAATATTCTGTCAAATTATACATGATTCAATGTAATATAAACAAGATTATGATAATAAAAATAATATCAAAAAAAGAAAAAAAAATCAAAATAAAGGAAAGTTCACAGACAAGGGACAGTACTTAATAATTTAAAAAAATGAAATGAAAGAGAGAGAGAGAGAGAGACAGAGACTGAGACAGAGAGAAGACAGAGACTGCTTAACCTCTCTTGGTGTTTGGGTTTGGGAAAAAAGAGTAGGAGCAGAGGGTCAAAGCCATCACCATACATTGTTATTATAAACAGGTAGTTTTCCATTTTTGTGTCCCTTAAATGTTTCGCTTTTTTCTTTCTCCCCTTGATCCTGTACTTGTCACCCTCTCGTATTTTCTACCCTCCTCCCACACTGTCTCTAGTATCCACAGTTGTCCTCCGTGTCTTTTTTTTTATTTTTAAAAAATATTTTTATTTTTAATTGATTAATTTACATTCATTCACTGAGCATTGTCAGAGCATACAAAATGTGATTTCCCATCCAGTATATACTGCATAGTGGCTTAATCATACATGTTATCATCAATAATTTTCTATTTCTAGTTTTCTCTGCCATTTCCCACCCACCTCCCACATATCTCAGGTGTCCACAGTTGTTTCCTACATTTTATTGAGTCACAAAATTTCTTAAATAATCTAACTACTTTCAATAGCAAGTTCAGCTGATATATACATATCTGTGAATATGTGTCTGACTTTAGGCATGAAACTGCGTAGACTGAATATACTATAAGGTAGCACCTTGTTGATGCTATATAGGTTACTACGGTCATTAAATAGGTATTTTAAAATATTTTTTTAATTTCAAGAAAAGCAATTTTTAGCTTTAATAAATCAAAGAAATGCTAATTAACTGTGCTTAGAACTTAAAGTCAGGAAACAGGTTGGGATTCTGTTCAAATAGTAGGTATATGAACCTATCAGCAGCTCAAGACAGGACAACAAAGCTCAAAACCAGAAAACAAAGCCTAGAAGAAAATCAGCAATGTTTTAATCGAAAGTCATAAAATGCTATTTCACCAGTATGTACTTTATCTTCTGTTGTGGTTCGATTTTCCCAATTAAATTCTGGGATATAATATTCAAGTCCAGACTTGTCCCTACAATTAAGTTGGCCATTTTGTTAGTTTTTGAACTCTTATTTCTGTGTGACTGAATTTAATTTCCCTTGAGAACTTCTTGGAGATCTGGTATGATGCTGGTAAATTCTTTTAGGTTTTGTTTATCTGAGAATGTTCTTATCTTTTTTTCCCATATGAAGGATAATCTTGCCGAGTAAAGTATTCTTGGTTGAAATTGCTTTTCCCTTAACACTTTGAATATGTTTTCCCATTCTGTTCTCACTTGGATTGTTTCCAATGAAGGCCCGCTGTCAGCTTGATGGGATATCTTTTGTAGGTAACTTGCCATTTCTTTCTTGCCAATCTTAGTATCTTGTCTTTCTGGTCTTGGTCAATACGGCTATAACATGTCTTGGAGAAGATCTTTTTGGGTTGATTTTATTTGGGATCCTTTTTATTTCTTGGGACTGGACTTTATTTATTTATTTATTTTAGAGGTTTTTGCTATAGGGCACATGCACTTGCCAGAAAGACAGAGAGTCAGACAGAAAGCAAGCAATTATCCACCCCCCCCAGGGGGGATGGCCATGCTGCAATCCATTTTCTTCTGTTCTTCTCTCAGGATTTTGGGCATGCACACACATGTGCCCAGCATGAGTTTAAGCCACCAGCTCTGGGACTCAAACTGCAGTTGACTATGTGGGATTCCAGTGACATAGCTATTATGAAAACTGCTGGCCCCGGGACTGAATCTTTAAATGCCTCTTTAGGTTTGGAAAGTTTTCTTCCAGGATTTCATGGACTAGATTGTCAATTCCCTTATAAGTATCTTCCCCTTCTGGGATACCAATTATCTGGATGTTTGGACATTTGTTGGTATCTAGTATTTTTCAAATTGTATTCTCATTTTTTTTGGCAATTTTCTCAGTGTTCATGGTGGATTTTTCTTTTTTTTCCCATTTTTAAAATTTCATTTCCTTTTATACATTCAATCACACTATTTAGCTTATGAAATGAATATTTCAACAGGTGAATGCTTCTACCTAGTCCAGCTGATAAAACTATAAAATATCTTCAACAGATAATACCACATTTCTTTGTCCCTTTAATGCTTTGCCTCCCTATTTTTCTTCTGAATGTCCTTCCTCACTTAGACCCTACTGTTTCACACACAATATCTGGTATTTACATTCATATACTGTGTTTCTATATCCTTTAGTCAATCAGTTTTAGTCACAGAGTGTGGACAATCTGTATATATTAAGTGGGGGTATGCGAAGCCTCTCCTTCATAACCTGGCTTGCTTCACTCAGCAGTAAATCTTCCATATTCATCCACTTCCTGTCAAAAGCTAGGGTTTTATTTTATGGCTGAATAGTATTCCATTGTGTATATGTGCCACAGTTTTTCTATCCATTCATGTGTTCGTGGGCATATGGGTTGGTTCTATGACTTAGCAATTGTGAATAGTGCCACAATAAACATTGATGTGCAAGCACTTTTCTGATTAAGTATTCTTCTGTCCTTTGGGTAGATATCAAGTCGTGGGATTGCTGGATCATATGGTAGTTCAATTTGTAGATTTTTAAGGAATGTCCAAATTGTTATCCATAGTGGCTGGACCAATTTACATTCCGTTTCTAAGCCAGCAATTCTATCTTCTGCACCTAAGATTCGATTTTCTGTATGATCTAGTCTACTTTTAATACTTTCAGGGGAAGTTTTGACTTCCTGTATTATAGTCTTCATCTCTAACAGGTCCATCTGATTCTTTTTTATAGTATGAATTTCC